CATATTCGAAGCGAAGCTCTCTTCTACGATTGAGGTAACACTGCCCCTGTGTAGCATCACCTGGTTTGTCTGTGATAAACACAGCTAGATAACCTCCATATATCTGACCACAAGGAACACATATAGGAATAATGGTAATCGTTCTGCTGAAACGCCGATTTGGTGCAAAGCTTTCATGCCACTAGGAAACAGCATTCCAGGTTTCCCAAGTTAGGCAGGCAAGATCCTGATATCCAAGTTTACGCGTCAACCACTCAGTTAACTCAAGCTCGCATGTAAACATTCAGAAAAGGATGAGGAATGCAAATCCCTAGAAAAACCGCGGGTTCATTTCAATGACCATGCTCAGATTTCTGGTGAAGAAATAGAGTACATTTATTGTGGTTTCCAAGTCTGACGGTGGGAGTGGCCTTTGGGATATAATTTTGCCCCCCCCCCCAGATACTCTGTTTTAAATTGCACGGAAATAACGGTGGCCTTTGGATAAAATTTTCCCCCCCCCCCAGATACTCTGTTTTAAATTGCACGGAAATAACGTTGACCTGCCTGCCAGGGGTCATTTTTACTTTATTGAACGGTGAGTAGGTTTTCGATTTTGCTACACACTACAGGCAGATGTGAGTCAATTTTACTCGGTCCTTACTAAACACTGTGCAGACGTTCATAACTTGTTTTGTCCTTCTCCTAAACAAGACAGAAACAGAAAAGAGGGTCTAATCAGGTTCGAAGTAAAGTAGTAGTGGAGTAAAATAGTTGAGGTAGTAAAGGTAAGGTAGTGAATTTTTCCGTACCTAAGATAGTGGATTTTGCACACTGCGGCTTTTATTCATTGTACAAATATATACGATTTAATATACTGGCTTATAGAGAATATCGAATAATGTTATATTTTGTACCCATCACTGCTGCAGATGATGATGATGATGATAATGGTGATCTTGTTGAGCGCGCTTATCAGGACAACTTATCTGCTGCTTGCAAATGATGCCCTCTGTCATGAGCTGCTATTGAAACCCTGCCATTCCGATCTTTGGGATTTAGAAGTGTTTTGCATCTCAAATTAATTATGTTATGCGCTTTTGCTGGAAAGCACAGTTTTTTTAATGATGGCACAGACGCCTTGTTCAAAAGTTTACAGTTTACGGGCAAAAGTTTGCCACGCCGTTTATCGTTACAGACACGAAAAACGTCTCTTTTGTTCAGGCCGCAGATTTCCCCGGCCAAAAAAGTTGAATTATGAGGGTAGTTTATGAGCCGCAGCTTGTTTTAAAATATTTTAGGACAAAGGATTGACAGACCAATTTCAATTAGGGTTGAACAATCACCTCCTATTTACTGTAGCCACAGAAAGGCAAAGCCGACAATGCTCTATCATCGCCCTTGTTGTCTGTCATGTTCCTGGTGGTCAGACCAATAACCGGGAGTTATTCGTTTGCTACATATTTGTTCACCTAAATTGCTGAACACCAAAAGGAGCGGCTAATCCAACAAACCTGTCCAAGAACAATGTCATGCGCAATTTTTCTTTTCCCATGAAATGCAGATTGATTTAGTGGACGGGCATCTCTGCGTTTGTGTGTGTGTGTGTGTGTGTGTGGTAGAGAGGTGTAAACAAACAGTGTGGCAGTGAGTGCAACGTACTGGTTTAGGTCCCTCGATCCAACCTAATTCGGTAGTCAAGTTGAGAATCTGCGGTGCCCGTTCTAGGAGGAGATAAGCAGACGGGTGCTGTTACCAAATGAAAAGTAGTCTACAGTGGGCCTTCAGAAGCACTTAGCCTGATCCCATGAAAAAGCTATCAGGAGGTCATACACTTGGTCATGGAAAAATGTTTTTAGTGGACGGCATATCTGCGTTTGTGTGTGTGTGTGTGTGTGTGGTAGAGAGGTGTAAACAAACAGTGTGGCAGTGAGTGCAACGTACTGGTTTAGGTCCCTCGATCCAACCTAATTCGGTAGTCAAGTTGAGAATCTGCGGTGCCCGTTCTAGGAGGAGATAAGCAGACGGGTGCTGTTACCAAATGAAAAGTAGTCTACAGTGGGCCTTCAGAAGCACTTAGCCTGATCCCATGAAAAAGCTATCAGGAGGTCATACACTTGGTCATGGAAAAATGTTGTATATTATCTCCATGATGATATCTCTCGAGGGGTTGTGGTATACGATCTACAAACTTTTCTTTTTAGTATGAACTACCAAAACAAGTTTAGAGCGCAAGCACTGCGTATGCACGACAGGTGCAGGTGTATCTTCCTGCATGCAGGAACAGACCATCCTGGAAATTAATGTGAGTGCCAATCACAGCGAAAACTTGTGAACTAATTTATCTAACCTTCTAAAGTCAAACTATCAGCGGATTTGATTTCACATGCATGTATAAGTACTGCCGCTGGTCCTCCGGTTGGGTTCCGGGTATTGAACGCACCACTGATATTCTACGACATAATGTGGAGTGCATAGACTGACTTAGCAGTGTATTTTGAGGACATTTAATAGATCTTTGTGATTTTGTATCTAGGGCGTAATGTTCTATTATTCAAAACAGTTTTTTTCGCTTCTGTCCAATTTGCACATTCAGTATTTTTCTAAAAGTGCTGTGCTGTTGTCTACTTTTTTTATCACTTTCTCGCAACAAGACAGACATGGGGCTGGTATTTCAGGGTGATATCGATGTTAGTATTCGAGTGGGTACTCGAACGTTGGGGAGATTTTAGTGTGGGTTGTCCGAACCACGAGCATCCTGCAACCTTCACATTCTGAGGACCGTCCCACAGTTTGTTTCACACTGTTTCAGTTCCCCGAAACTACGATAATAGAGGAGGTTTCTCCCAAGGGAACACTGACTTCCCTATTTTTTCACTTATTCGCCTATCACCAATGTATGTCATGCTCACACTTAATGTTTTAACTCCACAATAAAATTTTGGAAGTGAGCGCATCAGAAAATCCTCTCCGTCTCTGTGTGGCGTCTTCACAGTGCAATTTGCAAATATTTCCGACTGACTTACTGAATGCCACTCAGCACAACAGTGTGATAACATTTCGGTTCCTGCTCCCACGGGCACCTATCAACCTTTTCTAGTGGCATGTATTCTGTGACCGGGCACACACGAACTAGCTTCCCATCCGCTGTGGTGGGGTTGCACAAATTTTTGAACCGTTTAGACAGAAAATTTGGCCAGTTCGATGGCGACTGCATACACACATGAGCGTGGTTCGGCTCATTTTGCGCATGTCAATGGAAAGTGGCGTTTGAACGCGTGAATCTTGCACCCAAGGACAGCAGTGCTGATTCGAATCACACACATTGACTGTTGTCAGTCCGTGACAGACCGCTCACCAAATGTTGTCTGAAAAAAGATGTCGGAAGTTGGCACCTCTAGTTTGTTTTGCGTTTTTCCCCCAGTAATTTTCGTCTGATAAACAAACATTAGTTGGGACTGGTGAAAAAGATGAGGCTCGATCGCAGATGACGGATGTGAAGCCGATCGACTGACTTACGAATTGAAAGTATCAACTAATGTGGCTCGGCATACCTTTCAGTCTATATGAGTTAGAACAATTATGTTGCAGTGGGTGCGAGTGACTCAATTCCAGTCACACATCGGTGGGATCTGTTTGAAGACAGCAACTCTCTTCAAGCGGCACATTTGATAGATCACGCCTTTTCTACAAAAACAAAGCATTGCGAGTGTTCCGACAAATACGTCTCCTAACGTCATTCAACCAATTCAACTATGAAGTTCGTACGGTAACCATGAGGACTGTTATGCCCGCACTCAATGTCAACTTCACAACGGCTTACTGAAACGAGTACTTGCAATGAGAATTCCAAATATAAGTAGCATGAAGGAAAATACATGCTTCGGGATCAGAATTCAATCGAAGACAGTAAATACTACCACTCATGAGTAGATTCAATCACCACACGTCAGATAAGTGCAAAACTAAACGGGGGTTCTAATGTGGTCATTCAGTGGCATCCAACTTTCGTTAATTGGATAAGGTTATTACGCTCCCCCCCGAATGTCGAGGGATCGGAGTTCAAGCCCGCAATATGGCATAGAATACGTTCCATTTAGAGTTCACTTCTAGTCCAGCTCTATTGTTTTCATGACCAGAGCGGAATGTCATCACAAAAAAGACCCAAAACTACAATTCTGGTGGTCAGAATTTGTCTTTCTAGAAAACCGTAAAACACCGCAATACCCATTTATCTTTTCGGGAATAACTGGTGGTACACACCTCATGAACTTGAAACTGTTCGAATAGGAATTTTACCTCAATGCCATTTGTAAAACAAATGGATAAGCCGGTTAAAATCAGAGGTTAAAATCAGGCGTTAGGGATGCGTTGCCCTAGCTAAGTTCAAGGTGACCTGTGTTATCAGGTACGTATAGTTTTAGGCTAGCTAACATACGGAAGGCTGTTTGTTCAAGTATTCTCAGAATATCAACCAGACGGTTCAAAGTTTTCAGTCGGAAATTAGATCTTCGCTAGACGTGGTACATCTGTTCATCCGGTGGCACTTCCATCTTTCGAAGGAGAGCTCCACAACAGACTTTAAGCAAGGTTCCTGTCTCCCTGTGGCATGAAAGTTGACTCAACCCTTTCGAGGATTCGAAGGCAATGTGCACTTCTTACGGCTACCACTGAGAGAACTTGAGTCTCCTCGGTTTACAGATAGATTTGTTCATGAGTCAACAAATCCTTCCTCAGGAATTTTTGTTCATATATTAACTGGTGTAGCTTCTAGCGCCGAGTTAATCTACTAATCTACTAGTCATGACCCAGGCTTAGCTGAAACCTGTTAAATCGTTCTCAAACAAATAACTTATTCCGTCTAGGCGTGACCGGGCAAAATTTCCATTAGGAGAGGAACAACAAACAGAAACGCTCACTTGTTCTAAACCAGTTCCTGTACATTTTTTGTAATAAACTGAAAGTGTTAGACGCGCTGGGTTGTGAAAGACAAATCGGCATGACCCAAACTATCAAAAATTTCAGAGTCTTTCCAAAGCTCTAGGGCAGGTGAGCAAATCCCTCAGCAAACACCATGCCTGGCGTGCAGTGATGTCCATTCCAGCGTAGGAATGTCCTCGAAATATGTCCAGTTGCGGTAAGAAATAGTGAGGGCATCGACGGTGCTGTAAACACGAGATCAACTGTAAGAGAACTCCATTAAGTCGGTCAGCCAGGGTATATATTGTCCATTCCTCGTCCCTGGGATGTTTTTCACATTCATGTAGAACTAGCGTCCTCAAATCATACTCAGTAACAGTAGGTCCATTAAGGGTGAATGCAGTTGACTCACTTGAACCTCTTCCGGGTCCATGATTTATTCCAGTCAGATGTTGATCAGCCAGGGTTTTGAGTATGTTCAAGCACTGCTTTCGTGCACCGCCAGCAAAAAGACGTTCCTCAGCGTCGTGAAAATCTAACAACCATGCGTCGCCTTCCGCAGATGCTTGCTTGTCTTTTGTGTAGACAGACTCCTGACTCAAAAGACAAAAGCCTTCCCTTTTCACTTCGTTTACCAATTGTGGTGAAGGCCAAAGCACGGACGAGATGGATTGGCTCATAAAGTTTAATCCGTTTTGGCTATTCATAATCTGATTGCTCGCTGGCCAGTGACTTGCTGACCTTGGCCACAAACCGCTGCAGCGAAATGCCGGTGTGATTTGAAGAATGTAACGCTCCCGGATGCAAATACGCACCTCACTAGTATGACCCAACAAACGCAAAATGCCTCGATAGCTGCACTTCTGAATCGCTTGACCGACCAGGCTGTGGAATCGAGCCCGAATCTTCCTAGCCGACAAATAGCCAGAAGCCGTGATGAATTCAACCCACAGGGACATTGAACGTTTTCGGCCATCGGACAGCTTCAGCACCGCTCCTCCCGGAACACTCCCGTCATCTACAAAGTTAAACACACCCATCTGGTTGAGGAACAGTGCCACCTCAAATCGATTAGGTGAGAGCACACGCAAACCGTCGTATGTACCCACGGAGGATGTACTTGTGTGGCGATTTCCGTTGTCATCACAAAAAGACGAAGTTGTTTGACCTGGCTCGATTAGTTGATTTGAGTGTATCAGCTTTAGTGTGCTAATGAAACGGGGCTCTTGCAACTCCACTTCATGAAGGATTTCCTGTGCGATGTGAACGACCTCGCGCAATGTTTTGGCAATTGTTGCTCGCCGTGTTTCCACTCGACGGGAGTAAAACATGCTGATGTGACTTTGTACCGGATTGGGTATGGCATTTGGTGTCGAATGGATTGAAGCTGATCGTGGAACTGTGGAATAGTGTTCTGTTTGGTTACCCTGTTCTTCGGTATACGTGAGCATAGTAGCTTGCTTGTTGACTATAGGACGGACCAAATGTTGCGCAATCGTTGTCTGATCAGATATTGCAGCGATCAAATCCATGGGAATAGTACGATATGGTACAATATCTGACGCGGTCTGGGTGAATGCGTTAACGTCAAACAGGCCAACAGGTTGGGAACTAGGCAGTAGATGTGAGTTTAATAAAGGTAGCGTCGTCATGATGGAGGCTATGGGCTAATCAGGCCGGAACTCCAATAGATCCAAACTAGGTGTGAATCTAACCACTGATATTATGGCTGTTTTAAAGCATGAAGTTGCCTTATGTCTGGCCGAGTGATGTGATTCTACTCTAGGGGCGGCACAGCGACCTACCACTTTCATCTCTGTCATCCCACTCTGACCCACCACCCGGAAATTTTCTCCCCCTGTTCCACGAACCTAGCAGATGATCCGAAGAAGAGGCGGACCAATCAACGTTGCCGCAGAGGATCGCCTCGTGCAAAAGGGCATCAACCAATCAGGGAGTGGGGATTGATTGATGATGCATTGGCAGAGACAGTCAAAACAGTTTAATTCGACGCCTGAGTCAAGTGCCTATTTTGTAAGTATGTGTTTTATTGTTTTGCAGAGCGCAGGAAGTAGCTCGTATACCACTGAACGGTACAAATCTCTCAGTTTCATACGGCAGGACCTTGGGAAATCCTCTGATGTTCGTCTTGGGAAGCTTATTACCATAGGACAGATGTACTCTTTTGAATTCATCAAAAAAAGTCACCCCAAGGTGACTGTCACTCCGGCTACACAATCAGTGTTGGGATTAAGAGACAGTGCCTCAAACAGAAAGTTTCAGTGGTAAAATCAGAATCCTGTGTCTGTGAACACAGATGGATCAGTTTTTATTCAATGGTTAAATAGAAAAGCAGGGGCTGACACAAAAGTTTACTTCTCAGAAATCGCGATGCATCGGGTTGAAACTCTGCTACCGCAGTCCACGTAAGCTTACTTAAAGGAATCTGTTCGTCTAATTGAACTACTAAGTTGCACTGTTTACAATATAGAACGAGGTATGAGGATTCCGATGCGTCACGCCAGGCAGGTTTGCACTTGATTCTGATGTCATGAGATTTTGTACTTAAGAGCATCTTGTACATAGTGCGATGGACAACCAAGGAAAGCCGAAAAACCACAAGCGACATTACGCGATGGGCGAGAATATCACCTGACGATGCGGTTTTTCGGACAAGTCTGTAGGATGAAGAATGAACATAGAAAACCACACACGGAGCGAAGCAAAGTTCTCTGAACCTAAGTCTGAAATGAGCAAGCTACCACAAGTTGCTTACAACAGTGTCGCCACAGTAATCTCTTTTAGTGTTCAGGAGAATTAAATATCGCATCAAGTTGGGATGCTACATGTGGATGTGCCTAAAGGGCTGGGGTGGTTGCGCGAGAACTCCTGGTCAGATTATTTCGGTTCTCAGCCCAGCACTAACGTCCTTCGAGAAGTAAATATCGCATCAAGTGGGGATACTACGTGTGGATGTGCCTAAAGGGCTGGAGTGGTTGTGCAAGAACTCCTAGTCAGATTACTTCGGTTCTCAGCCCAGCACTAACGTCCTTCAGCAACACTCAGTGATGAGCTGGGAAGTGACTGTTTCCGGAGAGCATTTACTTTTTGCATTTGTTCCATATTTGAAACCAACTTCTATTTCATTCGACCTTGGCGGCAGTGATTCGAGTGACGCGATCCTCCGAGAACGAGCCTTGCAAGAAGAGGACAGTGGGGGATTTCATCAGCGTTCACTTCAGTTACAATCCAGTGTACAACCTCTTCTGACAACAGTGACAGCAACCTTTCAGTGGTCACTCATCCAGCTAATTAATTTTGTCCAACAGGAGAGATTTTGAGAATAAGGAGGACAATGGTCCTGTGAGCAAGCTACCACAAGTTGCTTACAACAGTGTCGCCACAGTAATCTCTTTTAGTGTTCAGGAGAATTAAATATCGCAACATGGTATGGTGCACTTAGTTTACGGGATAATGTCGCGTTGAACCGTAGGCAGTTGCCGTTTTTGACTTGTCAGTGGCTCAATAGTTAGAACCCGAATTTACTGGCCGGAATGTCCGTGGTTTGACCCTACCTCTGGATCTCAACTTCCCCTGTCTAGGCTTGGGCAACATGGCAGTATACCAGCTTTCGGGCTTCCTCAGGGTGCTGTGGTAGCCTGGCACCAAGAGGGTGCAACAGCTGAACGATTATCTTGTCTTTTTTTACTGGACACTCTGCGGAGCTTGTACTCTAAAGGAAATAGTGCGAACACCCACCATCAGCTACACAACCACAAATACGTGCTGTTAGACGTACTTAATAAAGGGTAGAACTTGACCGAATACGATGGTCGTGTGATGAGCTGTCACCTATGCAGAAGGGAACTTTGAACATACTGACTTGAATAGATAATCACACCTCCTTTAATGATGATCTGCGGAAACGTAATTTCCTTACTAAATCTCAAAGAAATTTTGTAATATTAAACCAATTGTCTAGTGTACCATATGTATTATTCTGGTAAGTACCTGTTAAGTTAACGCCTTCGGGAGATACTGGAGTGTTTCCCTGGTATTCGTTTTTCCTTAGACAGTACTGGATTATTATGGACAAGGGATTTTTATAAGGTCTAAGCAGGCCCGAATTCGAGACATCCGTCACGATAACATATTGAGAGAATGTGGTTTAGCGGAGCAACCAAAACAATGGTAATTACTGAGAGCTTGACAAATATCGCTGTAGTTTTATTTTGTGTCCCACTTTCATTTCTCGCAATCTGTGTGGGGATCGTGAATTTCCGCCCAATGATTCTGTGAAATAGATTGGTTCTAATCAGAACACGGGGTCCAATCCAGTGGGGGGAACACTGTGCGCTCTGTACTGGTGCAATTAAAGAATCGCCTTCCGGCAAACAAAACCGGGGACTGCGTCTACAAAATTAAGTGCAACGACTACACTCAGATCTATATGGGGAGATGGCCAGGGAACTTCAAATCAGAGTAGGAGAGCATAGCAGAAAAATAAACAGGCCACCCAGAAACGCAGGTGAATATCCAGCGTTACTAAAAGCCTCGGCAATGCGGAACACGCACTGGACACGGAACACAGAATAGACTTGGAAAACGTTAAGGTATTGAAACAAGAACCACGATCCACTTCACAGAGACTGATGGGTGAGGCGGTAGAAATCGCCAAGCACCTCAGGGTTAACAGAATAGAGGGTGTGGAACTGGCAAGCGTGTGGAGAACGGTTTTGGATCAGTCGAGCTGACACGTGTTGATGGTGGGATAATCTGTTATCAGGGTTGAAAACTTTACTAGCATCATAAATGACACCCAAAACATACACCAACTTTATTGTGATTTCAGTCGCATGTACTTTCATTTCTTTCCTTAGGCAACCTCATTAGCAAGGAGAACAATCCCAATGGTTATGAGCGAGTTTTTTTTTCTGGTGACCAGGAGTTCTTTCATCCTATTGATGATACCGTAGTTTGCAATATTTTACTCAAAAAAGTCATCTGTAATTAAATCAGTTCTTGAGCGTTTCAGCATCCTTTGTTTCGTTTGTTTTCTTGAAACCGTATTCAGAAGAGTTATCTCGGCGTTAACGCATTAGACTTCTTGATCTAGTTACTTTGACTTTAATTTACTGTTTATTTTTGCGTCCTTCATCCACTAGTGAGAATGGTCCACAAAATGTTCGGCCTCAAAAGATCGAAGGCTTTTTTACAACTACTAAGATTATTCCTCATGCCTGAGTAATAAGCGGATCAAAGACTCGGAACTGTACTGTTTGAATCTGCGAATATTGCACTTGCTGACTGAATACAAGAAGGGGGTATTCGGTCGGAGTGACAGGGTGGTCTCATTAGACGGCCTCAATCTCAGAACAAAATTTGTCGGCTAATGAGTTCTGCGCGTATACCATCCCAGCCGATCTTTATGTGACCTAGTGAACAACTTGAAAGATGAGTGTTAATATGCGGCCTCATTAAATTGCCATAATCAACAGTCTTGTCGTTTGTGTATGATTGTGCAAGGCAGAGTACCAAGATAAATAATCACAACTGGTTGTTGACCATCTTGTCATCTAACCGGATGCCTATTGCCTGAAAAATCACTCAGAGAAGGGAGATCGGACTGAGATATTTTCAAAGTCTTGCTGATTTTGAATGCACATCATACGGCAGCGAAACGCCGCTTGTTTGTAATTTATCACCTACGGGATGATCACCTGTCACAAGTTGTTTTTTTTACTTTTTATTAAGTGTCTTAGCTCAAGTCCCATGTTATCCGAAAATAAAATGCCTGCTGAATTCCTCATCTACTTCCTTTTTACGAGATAAATAAAAATAGTGGAGGTGTAAATTCCATATCTCTGTCGTTCGCATCCCGGCTAGACCAGTGGTATGATGATGAACTCTAATATGAGCGAAACTAGTGTACACACTCAGTTTGGTGTGTAGCTATTGAGGTAATTCTGCCACAAGCATAGCAACGCTATTCAAACGACAGTGATGTGAATTTTTCTTAATCCTGTAACCCTGTGCAAGTACGCAGAAGTTTTTTCCTATATGAAGTACCAGGTAAACAAGAAAATTTGTTCGTCCCCGGAGACTCCAATTCATTCACATTTTTCTAGTTAGCCGGACATATTTAGAATGGAACTAGTATGCATCACTATGCATACGTGTATATGAAAAATAAAATCAATGTTTGGCAACGGCACTTATTTTCATCAAATTTGTTTTTACGGGGAACTCGCCTGGTACCCAAAGACCCTTTCATACTTCAGTTTGGGAAGATAAACGAGACACTAGTATATCCCTTTGAAAGAACACTACTCATAAGTTTGCTGAAAACTCTTCGAAAGTCCACAGTCAGTTGTGCTTTTCTTAAAATTCATCAGGTAGACTTGTTCCCCAGTTTCGTTCAGCCCCCATTTGGACCCAAAGTGTACGTAACTGACGAAATAAACTCATTTCCAAAACAATTTTTCAACTTTTCTCGCAAAATATTCTAAGATATATTGGAGAATGTATCAGC